GATGTATTCATAAATGATTATATAATATATTTTATTAAATTCATATTATAATGGTTAAGATCATGAGTCAATTGAAGCTAGACCACCATGGAAAAGCTGGAAGCACTGGACGGCCATTTCGTCCTACTGTTGGACTCCTCAGCAGTGCTCAGTGGTCTAGTGGTTAAGTGCTCGCGCGCGAAACCAGTAGGTCCTGGGTTCGAATCTCACAAAGGGCGAGGTCGTGGATGCGCACTGCTCAGGAGTCCCATAATAGGACGAGACGGCAGTCCAGTGCTTCCAGCTTTTCCATGGTGGTCTAGCTTCAAGTGACTCATGATCTTAACCATTGAAATTACTACAATCTCCACAAAACCCATCTGATATTAACCTCATATTCGTTTATAATATTTTAATTGTCCAGTGCCGATGGACTAGAAAGAAGAACACTTCTTCAAGATTCCAAAGAAAGAAGATCTGAACAAATGTGAAAACTACAAAGGCATTACACTACTGTCAATACCAGGGAAAGTCTTTAACAGAGTATTGCTGAACCGGATGAAGGATGCAGTAGACGCCCAACTTCGAGATCAACAAGCTGGATTCCGTAAGGATCAGTCGTGCACAGACCAAATTGCAACACTACGGATCATCGTCGAACAATCAGTTGAGTGGAACTCAACACTGTACATCAACTTCATTGATTATGACAAGGCATTCGACAGTGTAGATAGGAGGACATTATGGAAACTTCTTCGACACTACAGAGTTCCTGAGAAGATTGTCAACATTATCCGGAACTCATACGACGGACTACAGTGCAAAGTAGTGCATGGAGGACAGCTGACAGATGCATTCCAAGTAAGGACCGGAGTCAGACAAGGCTGTTTACTCTCTCCCTTCCTCTTTCTTCTGGTGGTCGACTGGATTATGAAGACCTCGACATCTGAGGGAAAACACGGAATACAATGGACAGCTCAGAATCAATTTTGGACTTCGCAGATGACCTAGCCCTCCTATCACGTACACACGAACAGATGCAGATGAAGACAGCCAGTGTAGCAGCAGTCTCTGCATCAGTAAACCTCAGCATACACAAAGGGAAAACCAAGATGCTCAAATGCAACACGGAGAACAACAATCCAGTCACTCTTGATGGCAAAACTCTGGAATCCTTCACATACCTGGGAAGCATCATCGAAGAACAAGGAGGTTCAGATGCAGACGTAAAGGCAAGGATTGGCAAAGCAAGGGCCGCATTCCTAGAATTCAAGAACATATGGAACTCAAAACAACTTTCAATCAATATCAAAGTGAGAATCTTCAATACGAATGTCAAGGCAGTTCTACTGTATGGAGCTGAAACTTGGAGAACTACAACAACCACAATCAAGAAAGTACAAGTAATTTTAAATAGCTGTCCACACAAGAGAGTCAACATCCATTGGCCGGATACCATCAGCAACAGCCTTCCATGGGAGAGAACAAACCAGCCACCAGCTGAAGAAGAAATTAGGAAAAGACGATGGAAATGAATAGAACATACATTACGCAAATCGTCAAACTGCATCACGAGGCAAGCCCTAACTTGGAATCCTGAGGGGAAATGGAAAAGTGGAAGGCCAAAGAACACATCACGTCGGGAAATAGAAGTTGATATGAAAAGGACGAATATGAACTGGAAAGACCTGGAAAGAATTACCCAGGACAGGGTTGGATTGAGAATGCTGGTGGTTGGCCTATGCTCCTTCACGAGGAGTGACAGTCGTAAGTAAGTAAGTAAGTAAGTAATACTTTTTTGTTATTAACATTCAATGACTGATCATAATTTGGTTGACAGAATTTAAAAAAAAAGTAAATAAAACCGATTTGACTACTGGTTAATGAATACTAAGTTTTATTATTATTATTATTATTATCATTTAGGACAGCAATTGATCAGTCTCTTGTTGGCATATGTGCATTCTGTGCGGACTGTCTCGATATTGCCTTACGTCACAAGCTTTCTAAGCAAAAATGGATAGTACCTATCAATGGAATCCAGTACACGTGTTGTGTCCAATTTGGGACTCGTCAGCTAGATGTACCTGAATCTCAGAGTTGATGCCTACTCTGGGACTCGAACCCAGTATCGTTCACTTCAAACTCCAGCACGTTATTGTTACGTCCTTGCTCTGTCTACCCACTTTTAGTGCTGAGGATACTTGTCTTATCTAGATTAAAACCTTGATGCGATAGTCTGATCGGCTTAACCTTGAAGCTAGTATACGTGAGTTCGAAGCAGAGTAGAGAGAAGAAAATTATTCTATCAATTGATTAGCTGACAAGCACACGAGTGATTGAAGACAAGTCAACTGGAACACTACTCCATTTATTCTCATTTCCGATCTGGTTCCAGATTTCAGATCAGTGTAAAAAGATACATGAATAAATAGAACACTAACCAGACCACAACGCACAACAATTAGGAAAATACAATTATGTCTAAAACTGGAGATTAGTGTAGAAAACAGAGTGCAAAATAATGCGTTTAAGTTACAATAGCTTTGGAACAAAAAGGGCTATGGCGGTGAATCATACATCCAACGAAAGCTTATGTTCTGTAAAATAGACCAGGAACAAAAATAAATGTTGATGTTCTACAAGCTTAGCATAAAATGGAATAAAGTCCCTAAAAATAGCTTTCTTAGTTTATCAAGGATTTTTGTTTCTCTGTTGACATCAGTTATCCACTTAGCTACTAAATCATAATAGCCACCTGTTTGTGCAATGGTCTGAAGTTCTAAATTCACTTGGTGGTGTTTACTGGTATCTTCCCATAGTTGTTTAGGACTGTCATTGATCAGTTTCTTGTTTAAAGTGTTAGTCTATCGTGAATGCTACTATGAACTACTGAAACAAAACTGTAGATTTTATCTGTGTAGAATAGAGATAATCATTGATAGGCTTAAGTGAAATTAGTTCAACACATTTAAAAGAAAATTTATTCCCAAGTGAATCACATTTAAACTGATAAAACATTCAGTCAGTTTCACTATCTAGAACAATAGAAAAGACATTTGCATTGAATAATCAATAGGTAGTAAGTAATGTTATGTCTATCTGGTCTTTAGTACGGGCTAAATCCTATTAGTTACTTTGTAGCGTATTCAACAGTTTCAGTGACTCAATATCACGGCATGGGTGTTCGAATCCAACAGCTACTATCACTCCCCTTAAGATTGAAGCTATGCCCTATTGATGAGTGAAACCATGGAACATAAATACTGAATTTAATTTTGTTACTAATCGATTTCGAACCAGCAGCAATGTTAGGTGGTTAATGGTATTCAACAGGAAGCCTTTTTCGACCTAGGTTTTGTGTTAGTTGGTATTCGTCAGTATGGTATACCTTGAATCTTAAGGCACTTAGTACATACTCTTAGATGTGAACCCTAGTCAACTACTTTCACAGTCTGAGACTAAATATATTGAATCGGAAAGCTTAAAACAACAGGTACTGATTTCAAATGTAGTTCATCAAAGAGTTGAAAATATTTTACAGTGGCGTAGTTAATCTTTGTCATATAATGTGTTCGTAGCAAACAGGTCTCAGAGTACCAGGATTTCTGTTAATAGATACACAGTAGATGATAATCATTAATGTATTTTTTCTCCAGTTATCTGAAAAACTTTTAATATTATCACTGTTTTCAGATAAGTATACTAGGAACTATCAATTTTTGAAACGCAGGATTCTAAATATCATACATCAATACCTTGATAATGCATATGGGGTCCGAAGAGGGATGTACTAAATTCGAATTTCGCTGTGAATACCAATATTGGGATACAAGAATATCTAGTTACCGAGTCCCGAAATAGAAGAATTATTTGTCCTGCATTCCACTTCTAACCATTTAACAAATATACAAAAATCATTGCTTGTAGTTCAAATGACATGTACTTGACTATCCTTATTAAATAACACTGATAGTTATCAACTTTCATGAACACTATATATTCATTCAGGCACATTTGTTTAATATCAGAAGGGGTTTGTGGAGATTTTTAGAAATTTTCACAGATTGAAATCATGAGACAGTTGAAGGTAGACCACCATTGAAGTTAGACATTAACACCGTTGGATGTCGGCTCAGTGGTCTAATGGTTAAGTGCTCGCGCGCGAAGCCACTAGGTCCTGGGTTCGAGCCCCGCGTGGTGCGGGATCGTGGATGAACACTGCTGAGGAGTCCCATACTAGGACGAGACGGCCGTCCAGTGCTTCCAGGTTTTCAAAGGTGGTCTAGCTTCAAATGGCTCATGATTTCAATCTGTGAACATTTGTTTAAGTTATAAAAATAGCTTTACGGATGACAATAATAGTTTTAATTTCCTTAACAAACATTGTCATAATTAAAGTTCTTCTATACTTCAGAGTACCAGTGTTTCAGAATTAAGGAACGAATGATAATATAACATGCGATGAATGTTTCACTCAATTCCATGGTGGTCTAGCTTCAATTGACTCATGATCTCAATTATTAAAAGTTACTAGAATATCCACAAAAACACCTTCTGATATTTGTCAACATATGCTCAGTAGTGTCTGGCTTCCAGAGGTATTTCATGGAATTCTAGTGAAAAGCTGTAACCAGTTGAGTTCAACCGGGTTTGTTGTGATATAGTAATTGACTGAAGTCAATGGTGGATGTGTCGCTCAATTACGTGGATTAGTTGAAATTAGACATTAACACTATTGGATATCGGCCAGCTCACTGGTTTAGAGGTGAAGCGTCCGCCGGCGAGACTGAAAACTCCTGGGTTCGAATCCCACGAGCCGGATAGTGGATGCGCACTACTGACAGGTCCCAAAACTACAATCCAATCCTTCCAGATTTTCCATGGTAATCTAGCTTTAATTGACTTATGATCTCAACTATTAAAAGTTAATAGAATATCTGCAAACCACCCCCTTCTGATAATATAATTGATAAATCATTAACATCTACCACATTCGGAATATAACTATTTTCAAAAATAGAAAAACTGTATTTTTCTTTTATTTCAATAATTATATTCATGTCATATATGATTACATTACATAATCCATTCATCAAACAATAGGGTTACATGTCTTGACAACAATGATTTCAGATTTCCAACAAAAACACATTTGGGCTTCATCTAACACATGGGATTATTTATTGATTTCCATTAAATGAAATCAAATCAAAGAATTTCTCTTTTGTGTGTGTGTGTGTGGTTTTTTTCTCTCTCTTAGTAACAAATATAAAACAACCTTATTTGTTTGTTTTTTTACGATCAAAGAATAAATGGTTATTCTATTTAACAAGAATACATTCAATAAACAGTTATAATATACAAATCATTCAACTGGATATATATGCTAAAAGTGATAGTATTGTTGAAATGACATGAATTAGGTGAAAGATTAGAATAGAAAATAACAACAACTACAAGGGCAACCATCTTTTCACATGATTTTGTCAATGTAAGATTACAAGATTCAATAGGTAATTCGATTATAATCATTAATACTGTTAGTACAATTCATGTGTAATAATAAACCTGAGAAGGTAAACGAAACAAAAGTTCTATAAATGATAATATAGCTCGTATTAAAAGAAAAAAAGAAAGAAAAGAGAAAAAGAAAAAAAAGAAAAAAGGGAAATCAATAAATCGATCAAACTAATAATAAACTAATACTTATCATAAAGTATAAAGATAATGAATGACTTTCAATGGATGAATATGAAAAGATAAAGAAAATAGATTACTCATAAAACTACTGATTATTATTAGTAGTATATAAACGAAATAGAGAATGTAGAAATTCAGGTTGACAAATATATATATACATTTTATTAAAAAATCTTTCTTATGATTTAATTATTTCATGATATCTGTACCAATGGGTAGATTTGTTTCACCGCCAATATCACGTAATGTTGTGCATAATTTATTTAAAATATTTATAAAACGATCTTTCCCGGTATAATCAATTTCACCACGTTCCCATGCATACATTCGTTCATTACTAACAATTTCTAATTGTGCATGATATGAACATAATTGTTTACCATAATCAATATTAGCTAAATCACCGGCTATTCCAGTCTTATCATTTGTAAAACAAAAAAGTAAGAAAAAAAAACAAGAAAACATATTTAGTTAAATAATTAATAAGAGAGAAAAATGATGTATCTTTTTTAAATACAGTTACGATTATTTGTTGTTTTTGTGTGTGTGTGTGTGTGTGTGAAAAAGAGGGGGATGGGGGAAGCATAGATACTAATAAATGCAAGGAATAGGATATACTCACTACTTTCTACACTAAACACACACATATATATATATACATATAAATGTGATTAATTGACAACATAGCAATCAATTACAAACTATGAATATGCTAGAAAACTAATGATGAAAACCAATTCACAAGGAAATTAAACCGATTGATTTAATCTAAACAAATATTTTTCAACTAAGCTTTACTACAAAATGTTAGATTAACTGTACTTGATTGAAAAAAGATGATCAGAGACTAAAGTCAAGTTAGTACTAGAGAGTTATTTCAGTATTGTGGACAAAATATCCTAACAGTGTTCACTTAAGGGATTAAAACTAAAACATGTTGAGATCTAGTGATTAGAATGTAACCTGAGTTTGTTTAATAATAACTCAAAAATGAATAAAAAACACAGAATAGCTGATTAATTTTTATTCTTCTTTCATATTTTACTTTACGCTTATAAGTTAGTTCAACTCCGCTTGGAGCCTCTCCTGGGGCTACTGCCAGTCTCAAGCCCGGATAAAGGAGGGGGGTTGAGCATGGGACTAGCGACCTTATCCCGTAGAAAACTAACTCGCTAAAAAACGCTAACCAGAAAAAAACTATTAGTTATAAATAACAATAAATTTAATTCATTTTTATATTGACTGTTTGAATCATATTATTGATGTTTAGAACTACAATTGATCAGTCTGTTTCTGGCATATAGGCATCCTGTATGAATTGCCTCAATATTACGTCAGATCACAAGGATTATAAGCAGCGATGAATGGCAGCTAATAGTGGATGATTTAATAAAAGGCAGACAAATGAGAGTCAAATGATCAAAGTCGACGAATGCAGCTACATCCAGCTGACGAGTTTCAAATAGGACGAAATGCGCTTTGTCCTGAATCCCACTGCTAGCCACAATCCATCCCAACATTAAATTTAACATAAATATCTAGAAAACAAACGGGCTAATAAGCAAATTAATAGATTCTCAAGGAATTCAAGATAATAAACAAGTCAAGTACAAAGAAGTTCAAATAATCACACCGAGAGCTAGACATAGAAGACATAGCAGGAAAGTAAAGAATGAAACTGATGGATATCAAATAGAAAATAATAACAATAAAACGTTTTCAATTAATAATTCAGCTGACGTAACGAATAAGTTTTCACCACATATATCATCTACCTTAACATGTTTTTTTTATTAAAGAGTAGAGTATTATGGTTTCAAAGCAAACCAAATTAATAAAATTTCAATGGTTGAGATCATGAGTCACTTGAATCTAGACCACCATGGAAAACCTGGAAGCACTGAACATAATAAAAGCCAACTAAGTCAAACGACAAAATAAGACCAGTCGCTTAATTACTAATATAAAGATTATTTAAAAGTTATAATTGAAAGATACTACCCGAAAGAAATACATATTATTTACATTTTATTTATCAAGAGTGAACTACACTCTATAATGATATTATTATTATTATTATTATTATTATTTTAACACATAGATATTGGTACAAGGAGGCACCAAATACATATGCGCCACACAAATCTCATTCGGTATGTGTGAAGGGCTGTGATACTGCCCGGGTGTCCAGATCGAAGCAAGTGGTTTTCTTAGGGAGCCACACACCGAGCCTTCGACCTGAAGGTCTGATCCATAAGGCAGTGGAGCATCATATGGATATGCAGTCCCATGGAAGCCGATGACCGAAAATTGGTTCATACGCCATTTGTTCCTTCAGGATACTGGAGCCTATGTGCACCATTGATTTGGAATCCGGTTAAAGCTCCGGATATTCGCTTTTCGTCCTCTCATTTTGGTAAACAACAGCAATGCCACGAGAAGGCAGTGAGTAGGACTTCCCTGGCAGAGGCTATATACGCATGACCATGTGAGAGCATTTCGAGGGGGAGAACGGATTCTCCCCACTCTCGGCCGTACCAGGGCACTAGATTTCTAGTACTGATTATTTAGCCAAGCATAAAGTAACACACTTTTAATGTTGAAACATGTGTGAATAACGAACGTTTTTCGGTACATTCTCATAGATTTCTTAGTTGAGTTTTTTACTCATATATATCTGCCTTTGAAAATGGTAGGGGGTTTTTAGAACTTTTTTAAATAGTACATTAGGTATACTGTTATCAGTAGAATTCAAGATATGGACTCTTCATCTAAATGTACCTACATCCTATTATTCATATCCATACAAAAATCCTAATTTAAGTATCTTTCTCATTCAAACCTCTAAGGTGTCTCTGTTAAATTATTGTAAAATTGATAAAGTATGAATTCAAAACTTCATTCACATAAATTATTTACATCATACATAACTAACAAATAATTGACTATTACATTATAGTCTTACACTTTAGCATCAAATTAAGTATACACTCTTTTGTCAGTAACTCCGCCTGAAGCCCCTCTGAGACTATTTCCGATCTCAAACCCGGATAAAAGAGGAGGTTTGGGCATGGGGTTAGCTTTCCCATCCCGTAGAAAACTAAATCGCTAAAAAAACGCCAACCAGAAAAAAATAATTCAAACCATTTAAACCCTGCTTTAGGAGTTAAAAGGTCTTCATTTATAAAAATTATGACACCTCATGGTGAAAGCCAAGTTCCTTCGGAAGTCACGAGGCTGATAACCCTTCTAACAACCAAAACAATCATTAATTTCGATACATGAAATGCTCGTACAATGTGAGAGACCAAGAGAGTCTTCCAAATGGTTGCTGCTACTGTTACTTTTGTCAGTAAAATATGTTTCTACATAGTTAATAGTTCGTAAATTTATGGGACGGAAATGAATTTTTTTTTCTAATATGACAATTACCAATCATCAACAACAACAAAAAGAACAAGACCGAATATCAATACAAATTGGAAAACAATTAACAATTAAGTATCATTGAATCCATAAAGAGATAATCATTTATAAAATTGGGAGTTTTGGATTAAAAAAAAAAACCATGATTGGAAGAATGATACTATAAATCATATAAAATCAATATGATTAAGAAATCAGTGTTTAAAATTTTTGTACACCAAAACATTAATCTACATAGCATGCATGTAATCGTGTAATCATGCAGCAGAAGAATAGACCAACCAACCAACCAACCAACCAAACAAACAAACAAAACTGCACCATATAAGATGATTTACATAATAGGTATGTACACATATAAGATGTTTACCGCAATCATTCTATAATGATAAGAACTAGATTTGTGTTGTGCTTTAGTTACATTGAATGATGGTGTTGATGATGATGTTGATATGTTGTTATTGTTGATGAATTGATTTTCATAGATTCTCCAAGGATATCCATGTTTTATTTTACGTTTTACTTTCAACTGCCATGTATTTTGATCTAATTTCATAGAATTGGATTGTAGATTATTATTATTATTATATATTGATGATAATCGTTTTGACTTTGATTGATTCAAATAATCGGTTGATTGAGAATTGATTATCTTTGTATTATAATCAAGTTGTATTATATTGTCAGCACTATAACTTTGTTTAAACTGTGAAGACAATAGATTGTTCCTCTTTCTTTTTAAATCCACTTCATTATATAAGCATGATTTATTGTTATAACCATGAGGTTTCCTCTTGCTAGAAGTAGTAGTAGTGGTAGTAGTAGTAGTAGTAGCAGTAGTGATAGTGTGATCAACTTGTTTACAATTCAAATAAGCAATATCTAAACCACGAAATGGATTGCTTAATTTGTTATTCAATTCAATTGTTTGATTGAATCTATTATTAATGTTACGATGTTTATAATTCGTTTCAAAATCAATATTCTTATTAGGAACCCTATGGAATTGTTCTATGCCAAGATTAACATTATTAGAAAGTGTATTACAACTTATGAAGAAATTTGGAGAATCATTCTTTATTAACTTCTTATTTACTATATCCGTTAATGAGGATGTTTTAGTAAGTTTTCTACAATCTATTTTAATTGGATGAAAAGTTTTAATTGTAGGTTTGAATGAACTTCCTAAACTGTAATATCGTTGTTTTTTAAATACTTGTCGAGGTTTTATATTAGAATCGAACGATAATTTTCTCATTTTCATAGGACATAATAATCGTTGATATTCTCTAATTAGTTTTTCATAACATTTATGACAGTTTAACGAATAGTTGGATGCTGATTTAGACTTTTCTATTGATTCCGATTGTATAGAATTGATAGGAGATACCTCTGCATTTGATATAGATGATGGTTTTTCCGGTATCGCTTGAATATCATCTGATTTTGATTCCTGACTTAAAGGTTCTGTCTTATGTTGAAAATCATTTTTCACGATATCACTTTCACAGTGTTGATTATTTTGTTCTGTTGTATCATGATGTTGTATAATATTCAATGGATTCTTTTCAAAATGATGTTCATGAAATTCTTCTTGATCATTATAATGATTAGATTGATGATTTTCATTATGATTGGAGTGTTTTTCATTCAACTTTTGACTTATTTCTTTCTGTTGATATTCATTCTTATTATCATGGTATTGATCTTGATGAGATGAATTTTTCATAGTATCCTCTTCTCGACAATAGTTTACACCAGATAATGAAAGATTAAATTGTGGTGGTGGTGGTGGTGGTGGTGGTTGTAGTGGTGTTTCAATACATGTTTGATGATGTTCAACATATTTATTACTTTCATCAATTCGTTGTCCTCTATGTAAATAATCCCAATTAGTATCATGAAATTCTGGATGATAAGGTAATTTTAAATTGTCTTCTGGTGTTGTTAATAAGGAATGATTTCTTCTACTCACTTTATCAATATATTCTTCATGAGGAGAAGGATTGATCGAAATGAACGAGTTCTTATGATTATTATCATGATTTTCATTAGTAAATACATGGAACTTATCATGACAGTTATTGAATGAATCTTGAATTTGATCATATTTTCTTAGACTATCCAATGAAATGTGACTTAAATACTAAGTGTACATTTTACATATATATAGATATACATATATATATGTAGATGTGACAGAATTGTGCAAATCACAGGCAATTAAAATAGGAATTAATTAAATGTAATTTGAATCAAGCAAAAATTAACCAGATTGTATATTACATGATTACATAATAATCAGAGAGAGAGAGAGAGACAGAGAAAACAAAGCAGTGTAAAGTGAAAACACAACAATTATAACAACAACGACAACATAAACAGCAACAGCAACAAGCAAATCACCGACACAATAAATTGTATCCACATACATTTAGTTTTATGATTAAATGAATATGTAAGAAGAAAAATTATAAAATAATAGTTAGAATGTATTGTATTATATTGAATTGCATCGTATATATATATATACAAATAACATGATGGTTAACAATTCATCATTAATTAGTATATCCCTATTCTAATAACTCACCTATACTAATTACCAATTAGATTATTTATTCATATTAATAATAGTCAACAAATAAAGATGATCATCTATAGTTGGTATATACCATTTAACTATTTCTATGTATATGTATATAACTCCATCTGGAGCCCCTCTGGTGCTACTGCCGGTCCCAAGCCCAGATAAAGGGGGAGGGTTGGCAAGCCTTTACATGGAAGCCTCAAGGCCGAAGGAAAAGAGTAAGACCAAACAACATATTACGGCGAGAAGTAGAGACAGATATTAGAAAAATGAACAAAAATTAGATAGAACTGGAAAGGAAGTCCCAGGACAGAGTGGGTTGGAGAATGCTGGTCGGCGGCTTATGCTCCATTAGGAGTAACAGGCGTAAGTAATTAAGTAATGTATATATATGTATTACAATAGTACATATCTATTTAATGCTGGGATTAAGTCAACCAACTCATAATACCAAATCATTAATTCATTAAATTACATTTATCAATTTAAAAAGAACTTAAAATGAACGATTGTTGACATTGAATATGGATATATATATTACCAAAAGACAAATCAAAAAGATAAGAAACTACATTACAAAAAAAGTTAATTTTATCAAATACTTGAATATATAATTATTCGGACAAATGGGGGGATTTGTGGAGATTGTAATAATTTTAACAATGGAATTCATGAGTTGATCTAATCTTGATCACTATTGAAAACCTGGAAACACTGAACAGATGTTTTATTTCATTATAAGACTATTCAGCAGTATATATTTACGATTTTGTACATAGGAATTTAACATATAACCTTCAGTTTTGCGCGTGAATGCTTAACCTGTAAAACATTAAGCCAGTATCCAGGTTGTGGTAATGCCTAACTTCGATCGATCCATGATTTTGTGCAACCTTTCATACATTGTCTTAGGTGGATAACTGTCTCTACGCAACATGGATTGAACTCCACTGGTCACAAACTCTCACTAGAATTTCAGGGAATCCATCTTGAAGCTAGTCACTAGTGATTTTTCCTTTTACAATTAAGACATTCAAATTTTGTGAAATTAAGTATCTAATCCAACCAATCCATCCTACGTTTATTAATGTATGGACGACCCGGTAATATAGTCAACGTTTGACAGTCTTATTCCCTTTTTATATGTATATTTTTCTTAATTGAGAGCTGTTCATTGTCATTCAGCACAACACAATCAGTGACCACTATAAGTTAAAGTGAGCTTTTTGACTATTTCATAACTGTTAAGTCACTCCATGATGATAAATTTTGTGACAGAATTCTAAAACGTTCACTCCAACTTGAATTATTGGGTTAAGATATTGTCTGAAATGATAATCAATGATCTACCATTTGACCTTTCAATTCTGAAAGTGAAACATTACCGAAATATATCTATCTGAAGTAGAAATTCACTTTATCGTTTCAATAGTAGTACAATATATATATATATATTATGATATATGAATTGGTATATGATTTTTTTACAGTGATGACCAAGACGTAATATTGATTGGTATCATTTGTTTACGTAAAATCATATTTTAGCCAAATATAATATCTGATCAAAAATGGCATTTAGAAGATAAACTGTCACTGTGGATTAATAGACAGTCTATTTTTAAATCACCCAACAGTTATATATTTTCAGTATGGGGTTGTGGAGATTATTATGTTTTTGATTGAGATCATGGACCGATTGATGTTAGATCACTATTTAAAACCTGGAAGCACTGAACGGTCGTTTCGTCCTATCGTGGAAATCCTCAGCATTGTACATCCACGATCCTGCCCGTGCGATCCGAACCCAGGGCCTCCAGTCTCGCGCGTGAACGCTTAATCTCTGGACCACTGAGCCGGCCGGTATTTAACTGTGTTGATGTCTAACCTAAACCAATCCACAAAATTACGCTACCGTCCTCCATTGTACTGAGATAGATACATGTCTTTACCCGACATGGGTTAGCTTCAGAACTCCGAGAATCCCCTAACGAAGTTAGTCACTAGTAAGCATATGGTAATTATCACTGTGGGGTTGTGGAGATTATTAAGTTATTGACTGAAGTTATGAACCGATTGACGTTAGACCATCATTGAAATTACCTCTATCATTGATAAATATTTTGTCATGCATTAGTCAATAGGATTGAATTGTGTAAAAAGAAAGATGTAGACTAAATTTTATGTATAAATCTTTCATTTTTAACTAAACTCTAAAACAATCATGCAAATAAAGATGACGACATTAAGCTTTTAGAGAAATCATAAAATGTCAGTATTTAACCACATTGTAGTAAACAAATAATGAAAAATAAAGATCAAGCATGCTCATAACATATGGGTTATATGTTGTTTAGGTCATTATTAAAACTGTTGTTTAGAATGGTATGGTGTTAGTGAAGTTAACGATCTTATTTTTTGCATGCTTACTACAGAGTGCAACATATTTATACATATTGGACAAATTACTAGAAAATCCCTAATTATAAATGCCCTTAATCCTTAATGACTGCGTCTAGTAGATATAGAGTAACCAAGTGTACGACATTACAACTAAATGTCTCATAAATTCTATGACATATTTGAACTAGTGAATGTCAGATAAATATCTGGGAACTGTTCAATTATATTGAACAAGACTATCGTAACAGGACTGATGTTGTTGTTGTTGTGGTAAGGATTAGAAATAGATTATTTTTTGTTATAAAGCTATTTCTCGGTAGATATCTTACAACTAGTATATCCAAAAATCAACTCAAACACTCTTAAATTTTTCTTGATTGAACTTAGAAGACCATTTACCTTATAACAAACTTTATCTAACAGAATATGATAGATTAGATTGTTAAGTATTAAACCAACCCTTGCATAACCAAGGATGTTTGATACTATGACAGAACATCCTCTGGTTCCGAAATGTTGTAGAAATATAGCGACAAAAATTGGTAGTCTAGATATTACGAAGTGTATTCATCTTGAAGATGAAACGAGAAAGAGGTGCAGTACAGTCATTTGAGTGAAGTTTAGTATCTCTGGTCTTTCACCTGTTTCACGTAAGTAGTACTACGCAGCCAAATTGTGCGATTTACATCTGTCATTTTTAGACTTCAAAACAATTTTACTTGTATTCAGTACTGTTTGTCTGATCAATTATTTGTCCAAGCATCATTCTCCACAGTTTTCCCATTTTTTTGTAGTTTATCAAGTTGTCCATACATTTTGTTATAAACTGATCCGACTATTTTCAGAAAACCAACTGTATATCTGAAAATTTCATTATTTATTAAAATGAATTCAATCAAAGCGAAAACTTGAATTGAATCAAAGAGATGACGGTAAATTTTACGGATGTACAATAATTTGATAATCATTGTTTACAATGAGATTAATTGATAACCTTATTAAAAAAGTAAATTCATTCTGCTCAATTAAACTATTAATCATAGTTGTATTAATCTCTATTGATGACCCACTAACTCAGTGTTTTAGTTCTAAATAGTAGTGATAAGCAGAAAAACTATTGTTTCCATAAATTTTTGCTCAACGATACATTAAATAGACAGGTTGGAGAAAGCAAATAAATAATTTTCTCTACTTACCATATCAGGATAAAGTTGTGGTCGTACAAGAATTAGAAATAATGACCACCAGTAGGCCAGCATACCAGCTACACGACATATTGATCGTCTATTTTTATCAGTATTAAAGAACGTACGAAAAGCAGCTTGACTACATGTCTTAGCCGCGGATGTTTTATGCCAAGGTTTGATTGGACCAGCAAAATGCACAACTCGAACAGATCCGCCAAACTGAACCCAAGCAGATCTACTTGTATAAAATTCAAAACTTGTGTCATCTGATATACGACAAATACAGTTGTATATACAAGGTAGTCTATGTGATATATCTCCTTCTAACCAGTTGGAAAAATACGTGTTCAGTAAACCCTATTAAAATACCAATAAGAATGAATATTATCATTGAATATTATTTTACTAATAAAATATAATTTAAATAACACTCATACCTAGACATCTGTATTTTTCTTCGGGAGTTTATAACATGCAACAATCTGTTAATCGTCAGACATATAAGTATTGACATAACCGTTTCAGTTTCCTATATCATTCGACTTTTTGACCTTGAATTACACTTCTATCTGTTTAAACTTTCGAAACAATTTTCTCATTAATAGCGTGAAAATAAGGTTATTCACAAGACACTAGATAAACAGGACTGTTCACGAACATATATAAAATGATTAACTAGTAAATAATTGGAATTCAGTAGGTATGTTATGTATGGTGCTTATGAGTATTAATCAAACTAGCTTTGTAAAGAACATTCTTATTATTTGAGTTCATAAACCCTAGGAATTGGAATGCTACTTCATATGTGTAGTATTTTGCTGAGATCCGTACTCGAATCTCATTCAACAACATGTATTACTGTATTAAGAAGTCTTAATCGAATAAAATCTTGTGAACTTACTTGTTCTCTTCCATCAAAACTCCCAGAGTCAAACAACATTCGTAGAAGACCGTTATACGTGTCCATAGAAGGCTCTAATATAAAGACACCAGAATTAAAACAGTCTGGCCACAGAGGATCAGGTGCAGCAGTAAACCCAGATCTGTCGAACAATTCATCAACGTTCTGCAAAACCTAGGTTCATTAGAAAACTCACTATTAATCAACCAATTTGAAACGTTCTGGGAAATTACTAGTTTTTTATCTGATTTTCTTCTCATTTTAGGCAGAAGCACTTGTGATTCGTTTCATACTATTCTGAAATTATTACTATCGATGAGGCCAACTCTCACCTTTTGAGTAGACACGGCTGTCTGATTCTAATATATCACCTTGGAACGTATATGGTATACATAAGAGACGTTTGATTAAGGGAATACGAACATAAAGACAATTTTTAAAGTTTTACCATGTAAAATACTAGTCAACAAATGTCAAGACATCTCTGTATTAAAGATGGAATATGTCTGATAATTGTATATGGCGTAAAGCAAAATGAAAGTTAGAAAACCCGATGCCAAACGGGGTACAACTAGAAATTACACATAGTTTTCAGGACGACAAAACTCTTGGCTGGTCTTCTGTATGTCTTTGGAGGAAGATAAAATTAACTGACCAAATAAATGATTCCTATCTGTTTAACAATATGGACCGTGAGAGGTGTAAACCGAATACGGTTTGCCTGAAAATTTGACGAACAAGTTCTCTCTGACGTTATCAAAATCTGCCGAAAATAGAGATGCACCTAGGTGTATAAGAAGATCGTTTACCAGCTTGGTTCCAGCGAAGATAATAAAAATGCTTAGGTCTATTTCAATAATTATGAAACACAAGAGGTTCTTTAGATGCTTAGACTCCTGACTAACATACTGTCTTTGCTTTTTTAGGAGAATACACTAAGAAGACAACCCTAGAAAGAGTTAAGCACTACGCTGAAAGAATTCAGGGTCGAATCCTCTATGTCCTAACGAGTGACCAGATACTGGAACTGCTTACTCAGACATGTGACATCATTTTTATCATTAAAACCCTTTAGGAAAAAGTCAGTGTTAAACGTAATATAGTATAGGGTTTAATGGAAGTCAGCTGATCTAATATTTTTACTACTGAAACTAAAAAACTTGATGGCGACTTCCGCCTGCAAAAAGCGGAAAATTGATGTAATTAGGAAACAAGTATAAAATCTATTTGGCTCGAATGACAAAAAACTTTGAAGCCTTACCAGAGTATCAGCATCCATAAATACAACTTTGGTAAACTGAGTAAGACTCCAAACCTGAATTTTTGTGAATGTTTCAATAAGCTCTGTTCTACCACCAATAACAGGCTGACTCCAGCCTTTGGTTATAACTGGTTGTACTTCGATTACATTATCATAAGTGCTGCAGAGCAGTTGTCTTTAAAGGTCAGTGATATATATGTTACAACTTACCTCATTTGTGATGAGAGACCAGGGGTGACAAGAATGGTAAGCTCTTTAGACGTTTCTGATTGTTTTATTGATGCTGCTAAAACAAGTGCACCCACACAGTATTCATCATTTGTTGCAAGGGTAACAAACGATTCTCTACCCATTTCCAATCAACTGTAACCGATCACATTAGGATTGTAAATCGGACCTGTCACAGCCACTAGTACAACTAATGTAGCAAATTAAAACAAAACGGAATCATGGTATGCAACTGAGGAGTGAATATTATTCAGTAGAAAACGAATGCTGCAAACTTAAAACATTAGCTATCGAGATTGAAGTGGATAATGAATACTCTACAGTTCAATTGTTGTTTAGTAATTCTGTTTGTGTTAATGCATAATCCATTGATCATTGAACATCCTCTTAAGTTACAAAGACACTTTTTTTTACACAGAATCTGCCGTATATTCAGCCAGGCAATTTTTCTAACTTGGCTCTATCAACCACTTAGTCTACACAGTGGATGCCAAGAGTTTCATATCTGATATGAGTAGCTATGTCACACTGATTTAAGAACTTTCTCATACGAATATCATATCAAAAATATCACAGGTTGACACTCTTCCGTTTTGTCCTAGACTCATTTGAAACTTCACGCGAATATCATTCAGCCCTTTTCATATGACTTCCACTAAATAATTCACATAAGAATCAAGCGAGGATACACTAAGAAACACTTAACAGTGCTTGAGTAGTGAAGTATTACTTCGGTGGTTTGGTCAACAAAAAAGTAATCCGCATAGCAGACGCGTCTCCAGAGGATACACGCAGCCCTAAACCCGGAAAGAAAGTCAAAGAATTTTATTTCGAAACGAATTTGTAAAGAAAAATAATGGTATTCCGAAACCTGAAAGGAGGCTTTAGTTGTGATATGGGTGGTCAAAAAGCTAACATATTCTGAGATCCATTGTCCCCACCCCATTACTACAGCCGTGAGTTCGGATTTAGAATAAAGCGGTTGGAATTTTCCCCCAGAGACAACGGAATTTCCAGGGGAATATCACATGGAGAAGTACTATCACGATATTCGTATCTCAAAAGGCAGGTTAATCAAGATAACTCTATATCAGTTTACATATTGCCTTCTGGTACAATGCGATTTGCAAATCCACACTTTAGTGCTTTCAAAGCTTTATAAGTAGGATGAAAAGACGTTGAAATTTCCAGTGCAATAATAGGTCCCCATGTGTTTACAGAAAGAGAAGGGAAGTATCACTAAATCTTATATATATTAAGTAGAAATGTGTCAGTTTCGTTTCCAAAGCCTAACGAAGGGTAACTTACTCGTCTGGTGTTTGACTTTTATCCTGTACGTCTTACGAAGGCAACCACTTAATCAATATTCAGAGATACCATATAGATGTATACACCTTACTAGCTTGTTATCTTATCTCAGCAGCACTTACTGTGGCGTGTGCTACCTATATTGACATAAGTAGTACATGATGTTAGTCGTGAACAGAAGGCCTGGCAGCAGAGAGACAAGGGGATCGAACAGTAAAGAATAGAAACAGGATGCAATTTGTATTAAAGTGCAAGAACAATGAAGTCTGAGTCATTTTGAAACAGTTGGTGGACATTTTGCAAATTAAGCATTTACTTTATGGTTGTTAGATTTTATTAACAAGTCCTGTGATTTTGTGTTAAATACATTCGATTGTCCCCACCCGTGTTCTGCTCACTACATTACCATCTCTACACGAATAACCGAACATAGTTTGATGCAGGTTCCCTCAACATGAAAATCAGAGCTAGTAGGAAAATGAAACATAAAAAAACGAGAAAACATGTGCGGAAGAGCATCAAGCGTGTCCCCCTCCATCATTTTGGCTAAGTATAACTTCCCATGCTCTATTCGGCTGTCAGATGTTTACGGACCTGATTCGTGAGTCGTCGCCAAGTCGAAAACAAGGAAACATTCTTCTAAAAAGCAAGCAAAATCGGTAAAATCTGAAGAACTGAACACTGTTTGCATAAAACAACCAAATACGAAGTGGAAGTGTACGATTATAAAGGAAGTATGTTAGCTTCTTAATACATTTTTGGTCTTTAAAACATACTGATCATCTACAAAAAAGGACTTACTTCACTGCGCCGGTTAACCGTCGTCGAAGAAAGTAAGAAGCTCACCAATACTCTCCATCCAAATCTGTCGTAGACAAAACTCGTCAGTTGCTATTCATCTCTTTCATATCTGCTTCCGATTGCCGACACAGTGTATTCTTTGGCCTTCTTTTCTATTTCTTTGCATGATTCCAAGTTAGCGCTTGCCCTGTTATCCAGTCTGATGGTTGCCATAGTGTATGCGCTATCCACCTCCAACGTCGTTTCCTAATTTCGTATTCAGTTGGAAGTTGGTATATTCTTTCACAGTACGCTGTCGCTGATGTTATCCGTCCAAAAGATATTTAGTATTTTTCGTTAACGATTGTATACAAATAATTTTACCTTTTTGGTGATGGTTGTGGTAGTTCTCCAAGTTTTAGCCTCATACAGTAGACGTTCGTATTAAAGATTTTGAATTCGATATTGGTTGATAGTTGTTTGAGTTCCATATGTTCTTCAATTGTAGGAATGCTGCTCTTGCCTTGCCAATCCTTGCCTTCACATCTGCATCGAGTCCTCACTGTTTACCGATGATGCTACTCAGATACGTTAATCTTTACGCTACTTCCAGAACTTCTCCATCAAGTGTGATTGGGTCGACGTTGGCCGTGTTGTATTTGAGTATCCCACTTTCTCCCTTGTGTTTGTTGAGGCCTACTGATGCAGAGACTGCAGCTACACTAGTAGTCTTGATCTGCATTTATTGATGTGCATGGGGTATAAAGGCCAGGTTATCTGCCAAGTCCAGATCGTCTAGTCGCATCCAAGTTGTCCATTGTATCCTGTGTTTCCCCTCAGATGTGGGGGTTTTCACAATCCATCGACCACCATAAGAAACAAAAAGGAGCAATGTAAGTAGCCTTGTCTGACTCCGGTCCTCACTCGGAATGTGCTTGTTGATATTCTTCGGTGCATTTCTTTGCGATGTGGTCCGTCATATGAATTTCGTGCGATGTTGACGATCTTCCCAGGTACACTGAATGTATATGCATCATGCACGTGTATGAATTTAAACAAAAATTTACCCAAAAGTATAATATCAAGATGTATTTTACAGAATACAGACTCATCACCTAACACAACTTAAGTGTGCAATGACTGCCTTAAAATCGCAAGGTTAGATTTAAGAAAGTTATGTGAGTAAATGTGGCCTGATTTGAATATGGCATATCAAGAATATATCGCAGTTTTAGTAAGGGTATCTAGAAATATGGAGAATTGACATAGGACAGTTGTAAATAAAATGACGTGGAGACTTATTCTTTGCGCATTTAAAGGAAGAACATGTTTCCAAACGAGATGTGCCACTTTTCAGATATGAGGTATTTTTATCTCGAGTCAGCATTTTCTGCATCGACTCAGTATGAATTTCACTCAGCGTGATAGGCGTAAAAGTCTGTTCAGCATGACGAACGAAGAGTTTTGTTATGTAATAATGCAGTGTGTGCAGCCGATGTCAACAGATGTAAGTAGTATGTACGGCGGCAGAAGGTTAAGAAGATAGAGGAAAAGAGAACGAGAAAAGAGAATGATTGGTGTAGAAACGAAAGAACAATGTAGTCTGAGACCATTGACTGACATTTTTTTCAAATGAAGTATTTGCTGTTTGGTACTCAGATCTTAACAAGATGTTCTGTAGTTTTGTACTAGAGTACATTCGATTGTCCCCACTTTGTTCTTGTTCATTACAGTTCTATTGCTTTGGATGTCTGGGTGATTATATGATGTCCCGAGCCTAATATTAGTGGAAAATTATATGCAGATTTAATGACCCTAAGTAACACATCCGGATATCGAATGCAAAATTCTTTTATTTAACAGTGAAGTGATTTGAACTCAGTGTTGAGCGTTATTTTACAAGCATACATGTAACCTCTGTGTCGAAACGTTTATGTTAGGAGGGAGACTTAAGGATGAAGTCTTTATTTAGGAAGTTTATTGACACATTTATTATTCTGAATGAAAGGGTGGCATTAAGCTCTAAGTAGATGGTTAGACTTTTAGCATCAATCTGTGGAGTTCGACTGTCTTTGTGCGCCTATTGTGTTTTAACGGAGCATTAGTAAATCCTCACTTTATTTTCATGTTGAAATCTCCCTCGGCCACCTAGTACGTGAAAACTTGGAGGTTCGTTCAACGGAATCTTCAGGGGGTTTATGAAACTGAGTATTAGAATTGGGTAGTTTATATTGGCAACTCATAAATAGTTCGAAATAAGCCGGCTCATTGGATATAATTGGTTACCCAGGCAGTACAATATTTATTTAACTAGTGAAGAGACTTAGGGGATGCATTTTTCGTAAATGACCCGGCTAACACACCCACTGGATTACCTATTGTTTCTTAACTGTCAGTATCCTTAGAAAGAGATTGGTTCATTTATTGTCAGGAAGGCACCAAACCTCTGTTATAAGAAGAGCCGGTAGGTTAAATCTGGCCAATGTGTAACATATTTACTGCAGTTTACTGACGATGGAAAGAAAGTTTGAAAGGATAAGGTGAATTGGTGAGCTGTAGCGCTTGTGTCTTTGCAGGTCTTGAGTCAACGCTTGGAGTTAACTTGATGATTTAACGATGATAATATATTTTTGCATGAGCAGGTAGACGCCATTTTTACAGGCATGATCTACAAATTGCAACATTTGTTGCCTCACAGCATGCTTCACAACTTATTAAGTTTATAGTTGTTATAAAGTAGACTCGTTGCTTAACATTTCGTAGTAGAACAGACAGAGGTATAATAAATTAGATTAAATTCATATTATCTCTTGTTAGATTGAAATGAAGTTAGAGACTCCATATAAGAGGATGTAGTAATAAAGGACAATGAGTTGTGATGCTTAGCAAAGTGGAGTAAGCCCACATGAAGGAAGAGAAGTCAAGGTTGGTACAAAGAAAGCTGTTTGTTACAACTGAGTGTGCATATAAAGGGTGAAGTATTAAGAATACTAATAACTATATCTTTTATTGTCTGATTTTTTCTTTCTTTTGTCAATCCTAGTGTAAAAGTCCGAGTTAGCATGTTATAGGTTGTCTTAGAAGAATAGCTAATCCATCATAAAATTGG